TGGGACTTCGACTCTTTCTGCTAAATTTCTCGTCTTTCCTCCTTTTTCTTTTTTTTTTTATTTTTATAATTTTTATCGCTCGGTGATTTAGGATTCGGGCCCCCTAGATCTCAGAGAGATTTCCAAACTTCTCGCGTATGAACTCGAGCTTTTACTGTGTCGGGTAGTAGGACGAGGGTTAATAAATCCGGATGTACTGCGGTAAATTTACGCAGAGAATCTCGGGGACGCGGTTTCGGAGGAAAACTGCTGGGGGTATTTTGGGACGAGGGGTTTCGGACCGGGGGTAGGACCGGACGGAGGTGGACCCGTGATTTGTGGGGAGGGGGGGGTTTATATATATATATATATATGAGAATAATATGTATGCTTAGTACTAATCATAAGTTTTTGTGTTTGGTAGTGAGGTGACATATTCCCCTTCACTCATTGAAATCGGGGTCCAAATTTGATGTAGAACACTTAGCAGATACGTTTATATCAAAGTGGGACAGTCGCAAGCCTAAATACGGACCTGGTCGAAGAAAATAACTTGTTTCGAAGAAACGGCCGTAACTTTCAAACCGTACGTCGGAATTGGACGAATTATATATGAAAATCGATTATCTCGACGAGACAGAGCCATCCAAACCGACCCCTTGGGGTTCGGTTTGCGTTCTCGGTTTCGCCAAATTCCTTACGGTTTGAGAGATATTTGTATTTTTGTCCGTTTTTACTATTTTTAGTAATAGTTTCGCCAAATTCCTTACGGTTTGAGAGATATTTGTATTTTTGTCCGTTTTTACTATTTTTAGTAATATTTTAGGAGTCTGTTTTGTTTAGGAAACAAATCCGATTTGATCTCAGATTTGACCGGAGGACTTTCCTAATCATAAGGAGTCTTTTTAGGAGTTTTAATGTTTTAGGAATTCTTTATCATTTTCGGTAAGTTGAGAGTCCTTGTAGGAATTAGAGTCATTGTAGGAGTTTTGTTTCTTTTTTCTATTTAAGAAGAGTCTTGTAAGCCCTAGAGGCATAACTTTTGATTAATAAAATTTCGTTTTTCCTTAATATTTCTTCGTGGATTCGAAGATTGTTCTTTGTGGATTCAGAGAACACCCTTGGTGGATTCCGAGGTTATCACTTCCGCGCTGCGTCAATTGGTATCAGAGCATTGTTCCTCCGATCCAATGGCAGGTGATGAAGCCCCTATCTCTCGAACTGAGTTCGACGTGCTAAAGACCGATGTCAATCAGATGAAGACTATCGTGGAGCGAATAGCAGCGGCAGTAGAGCGTCTGGAGATGGCAGGAGATCAAAATCGCATTGATGGTCGCCAACGACGTGAACCGACTCCGTATGAAGATTCTGACAGCGAGGAAGATCACTATGCACCCCCACGCCGCGGTGTTTATCACAGAGACCGACGACAAAGGGATAATTATGACGCTAGAGGTTTCAAGATGAAGATGGATCTGTCATCTTTCAACGGGCAACTTCATATTGAAGAGTTTCTCGACTGGATTGCAGAAATAGAGAGGTTCTTTGAGTATATAGAGATCCCTGAAGAACGTAAGGTTAAATTGGTGGCCTACAGACTCAAAGGTGGAGCTTCGGCTTAGTGGGAGTCTGTTTGTCTGAATCGATCTCGTCAAGGAAAGCCGAAGGCCGATAGGTGGGAAAAGATGAAGAAGCTACTAAGAGCCCGTTTCTTGCCAAGTGATTATGAACAAGTATTATTTGGGCAGTATCAGAATTGTAGGCAAGGTGGAAGAACTGTGGATGAGTATACGCAGGAGTTCTATCGACTGTCATCCCGCAACAATTTACACGAGAGCGAGGCGCAGCAGATGTCTCGATACATTGGGGGATTAAGGATAGCGATTCAGGATCGTGTATCTTTGCAGCAGACCTATACATTGGCAGACACGGTTAGCCTAGCCGAGAAGGTGGAGCGACAGCTTGGACGAAATAGTAAAGGATCGTGGGCAGCTTCTGACGGTTCGCGCACGAACTTTAATCGTGGTGGGAATAAACAGTCTCAAACTGTTCCTGATCAAGATTCTACGACAGAGAAGGGCAAGGGGCCAGCAACAACCGCAGCAAAGAAGCCTACTCCAGCGAACCCTTATGTCAAACCTGACCCGATCAAGTGTTATAGATGCGGACAGCCTGGTCATCGTTCCAATCAGTGCCCTAAAAGAGGTACTGTGAACATGGTGGATCATGAAGATGAGGATACAGACCGAGACAATGTTGAAGACTATGATGATGGGTTGGATGCTGATGATGGGGAACAACTCTCATGTGTTGTGCGGCGACTATTGTTGGCTCCAAAGGCAGAAGAACCACCACAGAGGCATAATATCTTTCGAACGAGATGTACGGTGCAACAGAAGATCTGCGATGTCATCATTGATAGTGGGAGCAGCGAAAATATTGTATCTCGGCGCATGGTGGAGAAGTTAGGGCTGAAGACGGAAAAGCATCCCGCTCCTTACAAGATCGGCTGGATTCGCAAGGGTAATGACGTACAGGTTGATGAAGTGTGTCGGGTATCCTTTTCCATTGGCCGAACTTATGTGGATGAGGCAATGTGCGATGTAGTAGAGATGGATGCATGTCACATGTTGTTAGGCAGACCTTGGCAGTTTGATGTTGATGCCACGCATAGAGGGAAAGATAACGTCTACATCTTTAAGAAGGATGGTCGCCGAATTGTGCTCAAGCCTCTAACCGAGAAGGGACCTGTCAAAACCATTGTGGCTGAAAAGAAGAATTTCTTGGTCGTTGACAATGAAGACTTTATGAAAGATGTGAAGCAATCTGATGAGATTTATGCCCTTGTAGTTTCGGGAAAAGAGGAGTCTACCACTGTCGAAACTCCACATGAAGTACAGACCCTCTTACAACAGTTTGATGCAGTTATGCCTGATGATCTTCCTTCTGAATTACCCATGCTTAGGGACGTTCAACATCAGATCGACCTTATCCCTGGATCCCGACTACCAAATCTGCCACACTATAGGATGAGTCCGAAGGAAGGAGAGATTTTGCAGAAGCAGGTGGATGATCTCATCCAGAAGGGCCTTATACGACCTAGCATGAGTCCGTGTGCAGTGCCAGCACTACTAGTCCCAAAGAAGAACGGAGAGTGGCGTATGTGTGTGGACAGTAGGGCTATCAACAAGATTACGGTGAAGTACAGATTTCCTATTCCACGCTTGGAAGACATGCTAGACATGTTATCTGGTTCAAAGGTGTTCTCCAAGATAGATCTCAAGAGCGGCTATCATCAGATTCGGATTAGGGAAGGAGATGAGTGGAAGACTGCTTTCAAGACAAAAGAAGGCCTGTACGAGTGGTTAGTCATGCCTTTTGGTCTTTCTAATGCCCCTAGCACTTTCATGCGATTGATGAATCAGGTATTAAAACCCTTTATCGGCAAGTTCGTCGTAGTTTACTTTGATGATATCCTGATTTATAGCCAGAGTGGGGCTGCACATCTGGACCACTTGAGGGAGGTACTAACAGTTTTGCAGGAGAATAAGTTGTACATTAATTTGAAGAAGTGCAACTTCATGACCAGTAGCCTCGTGTTTCTAGGCTTTGTTGTCAGTGCAGAGGGTATTCATGTTGATGAAGAGAAGGTTCGTGCCATTAGAGATTGGCCTACCCCGAAGACTGTCAGCGAAGTTCGTAGTTTTCATGGCCTAGCAACATTCTATAGGAGATTTGTAAGAAATTTCAGCAGCATTGTAGCACCTATAACTGAATGCATGAAGAAAGGAAAGTTCAATTGGGGGGAAGAAGCAGATCGTAGCTTTGCACTGATCAAGGAGAAGTTGTCCACCGCACCTGTGCTTGCACTTCCAGATTTTCAAAAAGTCTTTGAAGTTGATTGTGATGCGTCCATCATAGGAATTGGTGGTGTTTTATCTCAGGAAGGGCGTCCAGTTGCCTTTTACAGTGAGAAACTAAGCGAAGCTCGACAGAAGTGGACCACATATGAGCTAGAATTATATGCCATAGTTCAGTCTTTGAAGCATTGGGAGCACTATTTGATCTCGAGAGAGTTTTTGCTTCACACTGATCATCAGGCCTTGAAGACCCTTAATAGTCAGACTACCATCAACCGTATGCATGCTCGTTGGATTGCATATCTGCAGCGTTTCACCTTCGTTTTGAAGCATAAATCCGGGCAGCAGAATAAGGTTGCAGATGCACTCAGTAGGAGGGCTGGATTGTTGGTAACTTTGAAGGCTGAAGTGATTGCGTTTGAGTATCTTAAGGAGCTTTATGCGGAGGATGACGATTTTAAGAAGATTTGGAATGACTGTCTTCAAAATAGATCAGTTAAAGGCTTTCATATTCAGGATGGTTATCTATTTCATGGCGATCAATTGTGCATACCCCAGAGTTCGCTAAGAGAGCAAATATTTCGAGACCTTCATGCTGGCGGACTAGGAGGACATTTGGGACGTGATAAGACAATTGCAGCCATTGAAGAACGATATTATTGGCCTCAGTTAAAGAAGGGAGCAGAAAGATATGTGCGGCGTTGTCCAATTTGTCAAGTTGCTAAGGGACAGTCTCAGAATACAGGATTGTATACACCCTTACCAGTTCCTGATGCGCCGTGGCATGATATTTCCATGGACTTTGTGTTGGGACTGCCTAGAACCCAACGAGGTATGGATTCTATTTTTGTTGTGGTTGACAGGTTTTCAAAGATGGCGCACTTTATTCCATGCAAGAAGACTGCGGATGCGAGCAACATTGCCAATCTTGGTATCTGTAGGCGTCAAAAAATGCTGAAAGATATCCAAATACAGCTCAAGAGGAAATCATCCAAAAAGGCAGAAGAACACAAGTTTGGGATGTCTCGCATGCGAGACAGTCTTTACTGTCTCACCAGGCTAGACAGCATTCTCTGTCTCGCCAGGCGAGACAGCATTCTCTGTCTC